CTCTCTCTCTCTCTCTCTCTCTCTCTCTCTGTGTCCCCCCTCTCTCTCATCTGTTGACCAAGGAAAAAGGGATCGTTTAGAAAGCGGGCCCCCGACCCTGCCTGTCAGGGTCAACCCGGGCTGAGAGAGATGCAACATCCCATCAGATCTAGGTCACCCATGTTTATCCCAGGCACTTAGTGTTTTCCCCGGAAAAAAGAATTTCTCACTACTTAAGATCAGCCTGTCACAACCCCCCTACCCCCTCCCCTACCCCTCCACCCCACACCAACCCCTCAATCCTCCCTACCCCCTCCCCGTTTCCTAACGCTCATTATACACAGTTCACACGGTACCAACAGTCCCAACTCAGTCGAATTTAGTCGGAGTCATTAAAACAATTTAAAAAAATAAGTTTTACGGCGCTCGCAACCGCATACAGTCATATGAGCCGCAGGACACACCTAAAGTTTTCAGTTAGTAGGACATTTTGAAATTTTGCCCGGGTGGCGGCCGAAGCGTACACTTATCCACTTTGGACCACCAATGGATCTTTAACGTACGCAACTTGCACACAAGACCTCTGAGTTTTTTTCCCCTTGTCCGAGAAGGCTAGGTGTAGATCTTTCCTACCATAAGATCAGGGGGTGTGGCTGAAAAACAGCAGTAAGAAGGAGCCAAGGAGTAGCAGTGGAAAGGCTGCAGAAAGAGTCAGGAGCCCAGAGGAGGAGGCATAAGAGGCAAGGGGGTGGGGGCAGAAAGTGGAGACGACAGCAGACGACAGAACATTGCTAGAGAGCGGGAAAAGAGGTGAAAGGAAACACTTTTAGAGAAGAAAATTTTTCGGTCGCAACCCGGATTCGAACCCGGGACCTTTGAATGAGAGGCGAACACTTTACCCTATAGCCCACGGCCCACGAGAACCCCCAGTCGGAGTTAGACAAACAGACCTTTTCTTACTGACTTTTATTTTTTTCCCGACCTCTGGTATCCTTGCGATGTCGAGGGAAGGTGCAGGTTTCGGTCCTGTGCTTGGTGTGTAGTGTCTGTGATAGATATTTCATGTTGTTCCAGGACTTTTTTAACCCCATCCAGCCAGGTCTTTCTTGGTGTCCCTCTAGATTAGAAGTCAGATTCTCGGGTGTTGTAAGCTCTAGCCGCTAGTTGTTTCTGGGGCAGTCTGGTTAGATGTCCAAACCATTTGACTCTTTGACGCTCTATAAATTATATTACTGGTGATATTCCGGTTTTTAGACGTATGGTTTCGTTTCTTATGTGGTCTCTTCTGGTGACGTTGATGGTTTTGCGGAGACACCTCATTTCTCATGCATTGGTTTTTCTTTCTTGTGCCTTGTTTA